TTGTTTGTTCCTTGTTTTAATGGAACCTGTAGAAGATTTGCATTTCTGTCATGTTTAATTATAAATAAAAAATAAAAATTAATTATAAAAAGTTAATCAAATTTAACACTTCCTTTATTTAAATCAACTATTATTTTTCCATGTTCACCTAATTGCTGATATTGTGTGTAAAGTTCATTAATGCTCATTGGTAAATTCACTTGATAAAGCATAACGTTCAACTGTTGACGACTAAACCCACTGAAAATGAAAAGTGTTGATAGATTTGATTTAATGTTTGTGCTTAATGCTTTGAAATATTGAACAGCCATAAAGAATGAACACTGAATGTGTCGACATTGAGTTAATAACTGATTAAAATATGATTTCTCATTTGTTATTAGTTTTGATTTCACTGCATCATCTAGAAAAATGAGTGAATGCAAAAATTCTCTATCAAAATTTGAAATAGAAAGTGTTTCAAATAATTCATCCCGTTGTTTATCAATAATTTTATCCTCTAATCCTTGCTTCTTGATTGTATTATATAATTCTTTATACATTAAAAAGTTTTTTAAATAATCTTCTGCTTCTTCTTGTGATAAATAAATAATTGGAATTTTGATTAAATGCTTTAAAGATTCAAATGTATCATCTGAAGGTGAACCTGAACGGTTGATATAAATTAACACATGTGAATAGGGGGAAGTGTTAGCAATAATGATAATTTGTTTTAATATCGTTAATGTTTTACCTTTATTCTGTTTACCAATTGCTGCAGTGATTGAATTTAAGTAACATTCAGAATATGGAATTTTCATTAATTTTTCCTTAGATAGAGCATTTCTATTATCACTCAATGCTTCATTAATCATATCATCTACGTATGTATTATATACTCCCGCTAATTCTTCATAAGGGGTGGATGAATTTAAATCCATTTAATCAAAAATAAATTTATAATTTTAAACATTTCTATTCATCAATATTTCATCATATGAACTTCTATACTGTGGTGGTGTACCTGTTGGATGATATTTCAAACCTTCATCCGGTGTCCATGTCCAATATGTAGTCCTAGTAAACCAAACCTGAGGAGGATTTGTCACCTTTGAACAGTAAGTGTCATTTTCACCCTGAATGATTGGATAAGCTTTCACTTGTACTGTAACTTGTGAGTTGAAAGTTTCTAATCCATCAAAGAATATACCCGCTCCATCACGTTGAACTGGAATAGTGCATAAGAATGAAGTTTGGTCTTTCCATGTTCTAGCTAATGGCGTGCCATCATCTGCATTCAGTGGTCTAGTTAATGAGTCCTCGTATTCTTCTGTGCATTCATTCACTCCATCTAAATCAGAAGCTTGAAGCATACGTGTAAAGAATATGTCGCCCACTGTGGTCATCGCTTGATCGGGGAAGTTTCTGGAATCTATAGTGACCTGAAGACCTCGAAGCATTGGATTTTCTAAAACCGTTCTTTGCATTGCATTCTTCGGAAATGTTAACACAACATCTGTAACATTATGAAGAGCGTATGAGAAATCTGAGCTAATACCTTCAGGAGTGATGCAACCTCCATTTAGTGAACGAACGTCAATATGTTGAGCTGGAATCATGAATGGATCTTCCTTACTAAATAAACGTGGTATTGCTTTAACTGATTCTTCAATTAAACCGTATCCTGGTGTAATGCATTTATCCTCTAAAACTTCCATCTTTGTGCATGAAATAATAACGTCATCAACTGTTGCTCAGCAGATGTAGCGGCTAAGCTTGTAATTAATTTGGCAGGAAGTCCGATTTGTTGGAATTTGCGATCATATTTATAAACATGATTCATAATCTTTTCATAATTTTCATCAGTTATCTTTTCATAAACGTAATTTTGTAAATCAGCAACTCTTAACGGGTCAACCTGACAAAATACTAAAGTATCCCTGAAAACATAATATTAAGAATGATATCACCAAATGATTTAGGATAATCATCGAACGCCTGAAATGCTAACAAATCATTTACCGGAATAATCATATCAAAAGTGACATTAACTTCTTCATTTGCTTTCTTGAAAACTTCTGAAGGGTCAATATATTTACCACATACTGAGTTATCATATTTTTGAACATTATTATATAACGAATGAACAAACTTTTTAACTTTCCTTTCTGATTTTGGTTTATATGTTGCAAATGCGAAAGATTCACGGGCGCAATCCATCTGAAGATAACCAGCATCACCTCTTTCGGTTTCTACTTCTAATTGTTTAAAGCTTTGATTTGATGATTTGTAACCAACGAATAAACGCATGCATTTAAAAGCGGCATCACATGTGAAAGCTTTATTTGAAACTAGAGTTGCTTTAACTTTGCGTTTAATATATGTGTCACCTAATTGGTTCACATCATGAGCCGGATTTGTAATTCTTAAATGAGTTTGTTTATCATCAAAATATGGAGCATCAGAGTCATAGCATGAACTTTCAAGTTCTCTATAATATCTTCTACCGTCATTCTTTGCGAATATTTCATTTATCTTTTCGAATGAATGAAACACATTTCCATTAATTGGTTTGGTGTTTGGCACCAAATAGTTAGTCGTCATTTATTAATAAATAAAAAATCAAAATTAAAAGATGAAAATGAATTTTTAATTTTAATGAAATAATCAACTATGGCTGCAGGTATATTTAAGAAACTGTGGGATAGAGTAAAAAGAGGAGCGAGTAAAGTTTGGGAAACATTGAAGAAGGGAGCAAATTGGATATTTAAGAATAAAGAAGCAATTAGTGACATTGCTGAATCAATAACACCAAAAGCTGCCCCAATAAGAGAAGTTTTAAATAAAGGAGAAAAAGTTTATCAAAGACTACAACCGATACTAAGATAAAAATAATATTTATTTATTTTTCCACTATCTACCTCCTATTTTATTAAGTATTCCTTCAGCTATTCCACCAATTGCGTTACCTGCTTGTGCTCCCATCGCCGGATTACCTGCTTTAGTACCTAATACTCCACCTATGATAGTTCCTGCCGTTTTCGCTACTGGTGCCAAAAAGTTTGCAATGGGTTTAATAATCTTTTTATGAACCCAACCCGCAGCTTTCTTAATTCCATCCCATAATTTTTTAAAGAATCCTGCCGCCATTTCTGATTTAATATTAATTAAAAAAATATATTTCATCACTTATATTCTAATTTTTATTTAATGATAAATGAAACCGATTTTAAAAATAAATGAAACAGAGGAAGAAATAAATGAAAGTGAAAATGTTCAACAAAAAATAAACGTTGTTAAACCAATTACTGAAATAAAAATTTTTTCATCTGTTGAAGAATTTAATGACTATTATGCTAATAATAAAAAATTATTTGAAGAATTGACAACATGTAAATTGAATAAAATGTTTAAAGTTGATGGATTCAAAATTTCAAAAATAAAGGGGGTGGTTAGTTTGAAATCTATTCCTCAATCAAGAATCACCTCATTAATGAAAATAGATGATTTAACAAAAAGAATAGAAGAGATTGAAGAAAGAATGAATCAAATAATTGATTTCATAAATTCAAATAATCATTAGTTTCTTAAAGTTCAATGTTGAACTCATCAAATTCTTCTTCATCATTACCATTAGCGAGTTTATTTACTCTTTCAACTCTATCTTTTGATAGTCTTGTGTTTAATTTTTTCTGAAGTTTTTCGTTACCAAGTTCTAAAATTTTACATGGATGATATTTAAACCCGTTAAATTCTTTTTCCTCAGTTTTAATCATTAATCTACAAAGAACTTTAGTGAGGTGGTTTTGTTGTTTAAACCATTTATCCTTAATATTTGTTATAAATTCAATATCCGGAATTAATTCCCAAATTTTTGAATTTTCGATTAATTTACCATCAAATGCAAAAGCAATGGGTTTAATATTAAACTTACCTTTATAAAATAAACTTTGTATGTAATCATCAAAATAAGCGTCTACTTGTTTAACCTGGGTGAGAATTGGTGAAAGTTTATCCATTAATTGATTCACAGTCACGAATTTTGATTCACTCATTTCTTACGAATTAAAAAAATAAATTATTCAAAAATGTAAGACATGAATTTTTAAAGTTTATTTCTAATTCATGAAAATAATTATTTCTAATTTCTTCTTCTCGTTTATGAGGTCTTTGATTATGACTCCATTGATTCCATTCAGGATTTAAACAATGTTTAATTAATCGCGGAATATCTGACATCATCTATATATAGCTTCTTTTATAAAAGATAAAAAAATTATTTTAAAATTAATGTTAATTTTTTAAAATGTGTTTAGTATATAAATATATTTTTATTTTTTATTTCATTATGTTTGGGCTGAGTGTAAATGTCTTACAATTTTGAAAATTATTTAAATCTTGATTTATTCAAAAACGTAAGAATAAAAACCGTAAGAATCATACATTTTTTACTTCACATGTTAAAAAAAATGATACAAAATCGCTCGATATTGTATGAATTCTTACGTTTACAAAAAAAGTCACTAAACCCTTCATATCCTACTACTAACCAATTTTAATAGAAAATTGCTAGAAAACAAAAACTGATATAATAAAAAAATAACTTATGGCTAAACATATGTTTTTGTATAGCTAAACAGGGAAAGTAAGATTAAATTTCGTTGAATTTTAACCAAAACTTGATATAAGAAAAGAATAAATTTATCTCTAAGTTCATGCTTATTAATATTTAAAGAACTTAGAGATAAATAAGAGAGGAATCAACAAAATTATTTCTTCAAATTATTCGCTATAAAAATATGCTGAAGATCAAAATAAGTTACAATAAAAGAATAAATTCTGCATAAATCTATGTTCAAACATACCTAATCAAGAAATAGATATTAAAATTACAATTATTTGATATCAAAATAAAGTTATAATCAAAACAAGTTACAATAAAAGAATAATTTATACATAAATCCATGTTTAAACATAGCTAAATAAGTAAAGAGAAGAAAAAAAATTATTTTTTTTTTGTTTCAAACAACAACGAAAATGTCGTAATTATCACCTCTTTCAGTAACGCAGCTTCTAACCTTTGTCAAGCTTTGAGGCCTTGTTTCAGTCTTTTCTGGTGTATAGTTAATAGAAGTTCTCAAACACTTAGAAATTCTTTCCAAAGCAGCGAATTCGAACGGACAATCGAATGCGGCCATTGCCATTCTATCATTAGACACAGCGAGGACTGTATCATGGCATCTGTACAATAGAACGACCGGCTTCATTTCGAACTTCAATGAATCAGCCACTTTCTTTATCATATCCCTAAATTTCCTCATGAATTCTGCACCTAAAGTATGCATATTCCAAGGTGTTGTATCAGCATCTCTGTTCAATGTCATAATGATCAAAGAGCCTTCTTCACGTAATCTGCAGTAGTTCTGGTTAACAGCGTATAACTTATATAGTTTATTTGTTACCGCGCACCTTGCTTTCATCAATTTCTTGATGTCAACATCGGGTTGGTCGAATTCAGGGATTTTTACAATTGCTACAATTGTGTGTCTTCCATTTGGCCCGTATGTCTGTTGTCCTTTCATGAAGGAAACATAGGAACAGACACTCAGTTGGTCGATCTTTTTAGTTATGAATGATTTCTCTTTGATGTGAGAAAGACTATTTATAACTAAAACATAAGAAAGTTCCAACTTTTGGCCAATGAAATCGTAATGAGGATTTACGATGTATTGGGAGTTCGTCAAGTAATTCGAGTGTGGAAGGTACTCGTTCTTGTACTGGTCGATGTATTGCATCAGTTCTTGCTTGACTTCTTGGTTTAATGAACTGTCAATGATGTTATACGAGTTTTGGATACTTAAATTGACAGAACTCGTCTGGAAAAGTATTGTTCCGTCTTTTCCGACAACAAACATCTGTAGGTCACTATCTTCTATCAAAGCGTTCTGATTAACATTGGAAAACTGGATTCTTTGTTGAATAAATTTGACATCTTTGTCAACTTTGTTCAAAATCGAGCGAATCTCGAGAGTTTCGAAGGCAACGAAAGGACGAATGATCCAGTTAATCACATTGAACAAAATTACAAAGCAAATGATGTTAACTATGAAAGTAACAAATCTACTGATGTAAAACCTCTTCCAAGTAAGGATTTGGTTCGTATTAATGTCCATGTTCTTGATGGTGTTCTTAAGACAACTAGAAAACCCTGAAACATTGACATTTTCATAAGATGACAAATAATATCTTCCCATTAACTGTAAAAAGTTAGGATCGATAAGGCGGACGAAAGGATCGAACTCGGATTTATGGTGGATCTCGCAGAAAAGTGAGTCTACTTCGTAAAATGTGAAGATTTGGCGCTTCATTCTGTAATCATTTGTAATTACAGATTGTTTGACCGAATATGTAAGGAGAGAAATGATCCTTTCAACAGATGTTATGGCTTTGATGTTGGTATATTGAGTATCCATGTCTCTAAGGACCAAATAACGATCTGATAGGGCATTTAAGGTAAAAATTCCAAGAATGAACGAAAAGGAGAGGAAGAAAATCGTTGTAGCAATGTATGAAAGGGAATCATAGATACTTGGACGGTAAGGAATGGAATATTTATTGTCATAAGTTGGTTGAAGGCCTCCCAGCTTAAGATAGACCTCTCTCGGAACAGAGTAAAATTTATCGAACGAGGCAATCATGTTCTTTCGGAATCCAATGAAGAATAAAGTATCAATTAACAATAATACGATTAAAACAGCGATATTGATGCGAACCGACTTTGTAATCTTATCCAAACTGTCTTGGTTGGTCTCGTTAAAGCATATTTCGGGGAAATTGTACAATGATAAATTCAATGCCATGAAAACATTGCCAAATACCTCTGTTTCATTGCCTTTTTTGGTTTTAACATAATTTCTGAGGTCGGTGAAGGCATTTCTGACTGATAAACCATTATAATTCCGGTTCAAAAATTCTCTCAAAGAACCAAACTTTTCTGCAGCTTTTTCTATCTCAGAATAGCTTGTAAATATCGATTCCATATGGGATTTCGCTGCAGAATTTGTCCAATAATTGATTTGATAATTTGCAACGGCTTCAACAAGATATTGCACTTTAACTGTGTTTGTCATGTGATTAGATTCAGTTCTGATCACAGTTAAATACGAAAAATGCAAGAAAGTGAAAAGAATTATCAAAATTTTGATGAAAATATCGAAAGAAATGAAAGTTCTCTTGACCCTCTTATTGAGTCCGTCATTTTCAAACTTCGGATGGCCGAAATCAGTGATCATCGGGTAGTTTTCATGGAATAAATCAATTAATGAGTTATAAACAGCTTTTGCGTGGCCAATCTTAGCAGAAATGTTAGGTAGAATGACATAGTAGTTCAACCACGCGCACAACCATAGCTGTTTCTCCTGAGAAAAGACGGAATTATAAGTGTCATCGAGTAATTTTTGGTCGAATTGAGGTAATTTCCCTTCTGCGAGATAAGGTATTTCACTGAGCGACCAAAGAATGAAACGATCACGCCATTCCGATGTAGAAAGTTGAGAAAAAGCTTTTGCGATTTGTTGAAGCTTTGGATGCTGATAATGGATAGCTGCCAAGAGCATATTACGAAGCCTGGCAATTCTGATCTGTTTGATACCTTTTGGAGAGAAATTATCAAGCTCTTTCATGATATTTTCCTTATCATCACATAAATATGCAATTTCAAAGCGATACGCCTTGAATCTTGGGAAGAATATGTAAGGATATGCTACGTAATACACGAATACTGATATAATAAGGCTTGGAACGATTAATAATAAACCATAAAATCTTTGATCAGGAATTGTAAGCATAATGCAAGAACCGAACATGTTATAGAGTATTAATGTCAATAATGCGCAGTTTTGTGAACGATATGTATAAATTGGGTAAAATATTTCGTAAATTATCATTCCTATTGAAGTTAACAGTAAAATGACTTGTGCAATTCTATATTCATCATTTATGTAGATTCCCATATGAATCTGGCATATTAAATAGAATAATAAAATCAAAGCTTGTTTTTGATTTCGACAAACAATGGGATTAATGATACGTAAGTGAGATCTTGAGCTGAATATGCACATTACAGCGTTCTTTATGAGCATAAATATATGAATAACCAAGACAAAAGTCAAAGGAATCGTATATTTTCTTGTAGCTGATAATGTGTAAGTTTTCGTGAAGCAATTGCATACAAATGGCATGAATATTGGTCCGATGAAGAAATCTACATTAGTAACGATTCGAACGGAAAAATTAATGAATTTTTGTTTGAGAATTAAAGATATAACCACCAAAGAGTTTGCCCAAAAAGTAATAGCTGCAGTTACGTATACAACAAGCATTTTTGTTGATGGTGAGGTAGATTCAAAAGTACCTGTAACAAATAAACAGACGACATCGGTCCAGTTAAAGGAGGTTCCAACTGAGCTATGCTTCATGATGAGAGTCATCGAGCTATGAAGATAAAAGTTGAAATAAAAAACAATAAAACATAAAATTCCAGAAACAGGATATCTGTAAAGACGTCTATACAACTGGTTTAAGAAGAATAGAACATCTTCAATGCTTTTTGAATATCTCTTAGGAGGGATAGTGAATTCCTGAGAGATATTCATCGTCTCTGAATTTTTGTTTTCATTCAATACTTTACAAAAAATTATACATGATTATTTTTGCGCAAAATAAAACTATTCGGATAATGGTAATAAGTGTAAATAATCTTGTCTCCCCTTCAAATTTTTAGTGGAGAAATAAGAGTTTGTTCTGCCCATAAGGATTTTTTCCCAATGATATCAAGTTAATCATTGGTATGTACTCTTATAGGCTCACTTGTTTTACATGTAGATTTGATTTGAAATGCATAATCTCAAATCAATTCAAATTAGATTTAATGAATTGTTAAGAATCATTGTATTTTTCTAAAAGGTTACGAATAGAAAATAAATCTTTATAAATAAACAAACATGATATAATAATACAATAAAAAAAATTAAATTAAATTTAAACAACATCTTCATCAGTTAAATCTTCGACATCATCGAAATCGTCTTCTTCCTCTTCTCTCTTTGGAGGAGTATAAGTTTGTCCAACAGCCTTATAAATTGCCTGTATTTCAGACAAATCCAAATAAAACAAAACATCAGTTCCACTTTGAACCATGTCATCCAACAATTTATAAGCGTTTTTCATGGATCCTTTAGCAACGAAAGCCTCAATCATGACTATATAGATATCATCGAGTTTGAGCAATTGTTCTATATTCGGTGTCTTTAACAAAGTTGCGCAAATTGCCAAAGCTTGTTGAGGATTTTCTTCAACAATTTTCGTTGATTCAATGTACATCGCCATTGTTCTTGTTCTTTCTCTAAATACGTTAAGCATTGCTTCTCTCTTGTCACTCTCTGGAGCATTTATCATTGTCTCAACAGATTTCTTCAATAGCTCAAATGCTCTTTCGTATTCTTGATGTTCTTCAGCACATTGTCTTGCAATTGAATCATAAAATCTAGCGAGTTTGTCTAAAGCTCCACTCTTAGTAAGGAAAGCAACAATCAAGTCAAAGATAGTCTCAGAACCATAAGCATCAAGTGTTTGAAGATAATTGGCCGCAAGAATGTAAACTTCTCTATTTCTAGCGGTTTTTGCAAATTTGACAACTTTTTGAGTGTCTCCAGCTCTTGCCAAACATTTTACAGCAGAAAGGAGATCTTTTAGCTTGACGTAGAGAGAGGCTGCGATAGAGTTTTCGTTCTGGCGTTCGCACATTGCTGCAAACTGTCTCAAAATCTCAGGATCTTGTTCTGTTTCAGCGATACTTTGAATTGTTTGTTTTGAGATTTTTACATTGTGATCTTTCATTATTTTCTCAACAATGTCGAATTGTTTTGCCAAAGCAAAGCATTCAGCGGCCTTTGACCATCTGTCGCTCTCTATAAAATGCTTTCCGCATGTAACTAAAATGTCAGGAGGAGTTTTAATTGTCAAAGAATCAGAAATTTCATCCAAAGCATCATAAAGGTTCTTTGTGAAGCACAAAGCCAAAGCTCTATTCATTCTTCCTGCCCTTGCGTATAGTATTACTGCCTGTTTATCCATTCTGAGTTCTTCGAATGTCTGGGCAGCTTTTATCAATGTTGTTTGAGGACAAGAAAAAGAAAGACTCAAAACTTCATCAAACAATTTCTGGGATAAAGCGAAATCCATTGCTTGTGAATATTGTCTTGCTCTTCTGAATAAATCAATGACTTCTTTCTGGAGTTTGTTGATCTCGCCACTTTGGTCGTTTTGGTCTTTCAAATATGAAATTCTTTTCATTAAAATTCTTGCAAACATGCAATAACTCGCAGGATGTTTAGATTTCTGTAATACTTTCCTGCAATCATCGAATCGACCAAGAAGACTCAAAAGACGGACCATATCTGTAACAGAATTCGCGGATTCGTACATTTTTATGGCACTTTTGTCGACATTATGTGCTTCAAAGAATCTTCCAAGCCAAAGAAGCAAACCCTTGGGTACTTCTGATAGAGAACGCGTTTCTACGTACTCGAATAAGAATTTCAAGTTGTCTGCTTGCATTGCGGCCCTTGGAAATTCTGTTTCTATGACTCCTGCTTCTTCCCATGACCTTGCAGCCTCTTTGAGGTTGCCTTGGATCTCAAAGATCCTTCCTCTTTGATATTGGATCTGTTTAACATGCATTCTATCTCTTTTTCTTGTCAAACTAAGAGCATCATCGTATTCTCCAACAGATATGCTCAATTGTGCGACCAATTCGTATCTCTTGTTCTCGACAGCAATTTTCTTGGCATTGTCGTTAGCTCCAATAGCAACACAAGTCAAAAATTTGGCCAATACGATATCATTTTCTTTGAGAGCCTTTGAAACATGGATTGCAAACGCGGCATTGCCTATTTTACCAAGACACATAGGTAATAATTCTGTCCTATCGTTCTGTATGCAAGTTTGACACAACATTCTCCATGTTCCGTCACTTTGAACGTTTCTTGCAGCATTTAGAGCGGCATCAATATCACCAGAAGCCAGAGCAAAGTTTAGTTCCATAAGAGATTTCCTTGTTCCTTCATCGGCAGTATCGATTCCTGCAAATTGAGGTAAAATGCACATGCAAGGAAGAAGTCCGTCCATGTTAAACAGGACACGAGGAATATTTACAACAGAAAGACGGCCACTAGGAGGCACTTTAAGCGTTGGTTGCTTAAATGTAAATAAGGAATCTCCAACAAATAAAGGAACTACAACTGCATCTCCATTACTTTCCAATGTTGATCTATATGGTGTAACTTGGACGCACAAAAGCCTTGGATCTTCTGTATCCCATAAAGCCAAAACAGGAACAGAGAGGCCAAAGTCAACATTAACGGTCTTGTCGAATTGTGGTGAATGCAGGAATATATATGGTGAAGGTCTCCATGATCCATTGTTGAAGATATCCAAAATTATTGAAACACAAAAGCCACTTGCGCTAAGAGCGACACTTCTAATGCGATAGTCTTGGTAAGGAGCAGAAAATGTTGTTGTATAAAGGGTTTTTGTCTGTCTTCTTCCTGCATCCACAACAAATACAGTTCGATCTTGACAAATAGCGACAAGAAACTGCTCAGACTTCTCCAAAAATTGTATTGGAGAATTTGATCCAAGAGAATTAGTTTGGACAAGAGTTCCCGAGAGATTTAATCTTTTAATATTTGTATCTTCAGCAACAAAGATATTTTCGCCCATAATAATTGCTAGATCTGTTCCTGTCTTGATCGTACCCATAGGACTTAAATTTCCTCCCTTTTTCTGGAATAAATTTGCTACATCTGAAGAAGAAGCCAAAACTATGTTCTGGCTCTCTGATAATCTGTAGATAGCACCGCCAACCTTTAGTATATCGTTTCTTGTCTTGATCATATTGCATTTGGAGAGGCAAGTCAACTCATTTAATGCAAATAGTTCGAAGTAACGTATTATCGATGGTTTTCTGTTTTTCGCTAATGCAATAAATCCTGGGAAAGCATGCGACCATTGTGCTTGTTCTATTTTTGTTTGAGTATCGACAATTATTGGATTTGACCATCCTTCTCGTTTTAATGGCCCTTTCATAGTATTTTTGAACATGACTATCTTACCAGAATCTGTTGTAGCAAATAATATCGACGTATTCGTATCAAAAAAGATAGAAGTGTATGCTTCATCGAATGGAGCCCTCAAAAGCATCATTCTATCATTTGAAGGCGACCACACGATGATAACATTTACTACAGAGTATGTGATTAAATCTGCCCTGACGTCTGTAAAGAAAACATCGATTCCTGGTTGTAATTTTACTTGTGAAAACTTTTTATATCCGTGGAGAGTATCGTACATTTCGAGTTCATTATTCTTTGTAATTGCAATGAGTCTTTGGGTTGTTGCTGAAAACTGAAGTTGAGTAAATTCGGATTCAGATTCTGAAATTTTTTCAAGCGCAGAGTCTTCTTCTTCGTCGCTTTCTTCGACTTTATAGATTGTTTTTCCACAGGATATGTAAACTTGCGGAGAGCCAGTATGTGAGAAAATAACGTTATCTATTTTTTCTTCAGCTTTTGCAAGAAAGATCTCACAGGGATCCTCTTCGCAGTCCCAGCATATCATACTATTGCTTTCATCTGCTGAAAATAAATATGGTAAAGCAGGATGCCAGCATAATTTAGTAACGGGTGATTTATGGGCTTCATCGATTTCAATATGCTCACCATTAGAGAAAATGGATACACATCCATCTTTCCATCCAATTGCAAGCGTATCAGTACATGGAGACCACGAAATAACTAAGGCTTTTGTATTTCTTGAGAGTTTTTCTGATACAAACTCTTCGCCTCTGTCATTAAAGAAGTGTACAGAGCCATCTGCAACAATAACAGCACATATTGGATGAAGATATGACCATGCTGCGCTGTCAAATGAGTTAAATCCATTAAAATCGTTCTTGACAAAATCCATTCTATAAAAAATTGTCACGTTTTTATATAAACGTCACCTTTTCAATTTTTTTTCCAAAAAATCATCAAGAATTTTTCATTGGAAATTAGATGAGAATGATAGAGAAATCATCCAAAGGCCTCGGTTTATAAATATTAACGTCTTAAATCTGAATTTTTTAGAGTAAATTTCATTTCATTAGATATATTGCTTGATGTTTTTGAAATGTATAAATTTCTTAGGTGTGTATCTTCTAAAAATAGTAAAAATTATATTCATAGTATACAAAACAAACTTTATAAAAATACAAAAATCGAAAACTCATTCTGCAGGATTTTCGATAGGTACTTGTTTCTTTACTAATGTATCCTTTATATGGTTAATAGTATTTGCCTTCAAATTTTTAGGTAAACTTGAAATTGCTTGTTCGCGTATTTTTTCTGCAACAATTTCTGGTGTTAAATCTTCTATTGTTTCGTTTGACATTACTTTCAAGCTAAGGCTTTTAACTTCTTCTCTCCAATTTGATTTTCCAACCAATTCTTTAATGCTATTGCGAACCTTATCGATGTCGCCATCTGCTTCAAGTTGCTTAAGAATTTTGTCTCTGTAAAATTTCACCTTCTCCTCATGATTTTTGAAGTTGTTGTTATTATTACTCATTGATCAAAAAAGTGTCAAAAGAGTAGGGGTAATTTTAGCTAAAAGCGACACGCCTGTAAAAAGTGACACACCCGTGAAGGGTGTGATTACCGATCGGTAATTTCGACAGTTTAGAATTTAAAATTTTTTATGGAACTGTTGCGAGTTTCATAAAGAATTTAAGGAATATAAGCAAAGATTTGAATCAAAATCTTAGACCTAAGCCGCTCGATTCGCTCGCGGCTTCCGCGAATTACAGATCAGCAAAGATTTGAATCAAAATCTTCGAACTAAGCCGATCGCTTCGCTCGCGGCTTTCTTTATTATTTTAAATTTGCATATTTCCATCAAAAGTTCATAAGGTAAAAAATTTTGTTTATATTATTGCAAAATAAAATCTTCATTATCAAAATAATATTAAATAATAATATAATATAATTTATAAACAACTATTATTTAATAAAGTTTAATTGCCAAGGTTCATCTAATTTTTTGATTTTTAATGTTTTATGAATTTTATTTATCATGTATATATCTAATGAAGATTATATATGTAGAAGATAAGTACCTTAATATGTACGTAAATTTTAATGAAATTTATACAACATTATAAAAATTTATGAATAAAAACTTGATATAAAATAACATTTTTATTTTTACTAAGAAAAAAAAGGTTTTTGATAATAAATTTATTTTATTTCGAAAAAGTAGCAATAATCGTAAAAGGGTATTGATAGGCTTGCTAAAGTAACTAATTTTAGCTGTCAAATACTTTTGTATTTTGAAGTAAATTAGTATAAATTTGTTTTTACTTTTATTTCGAAAAAGTAACAATAATCGTAAAAGGGTATTGATAGGCTTGCTAAAGTAACTAATTTTAGCTGTCAAATACTTTTGTATTTTGAAGTAAATTAGTATAAATTTGATATTATTTTAACTCCCTTTGAAAACCTCAATTTTCCATACAGAGGGAACGGGAATAGCATCCAATATTCCCTGAGAATGGTTGCGCATTCTCAGTTCCCTCTATATTTCGAACGAAGCTCTCATCGGTCTTTTTTTTGAATACTAAACGTTTTTTTTTCCTGTCACTTTTAGCTAAAATTTGGGTTTGCCTTTACCAAATTTGGTTTTACTTAATTTTAATAGCTTATATTGGATATGAATGAGTAAGGAAATTCCACTATGAATTAAATTAAATAAATAATTTCCAAATTCCAAACTTTTTTACTTAATTTGGATCTTTTGTATTAAACCAAGTAAAAAATTTTCGCCTCTATGGAAAAATTCCAAATGAAACAAATTTGAAAACCTTCCCAATTTTGAGAGGAAAATCTTTTCCAAACTCATGTTTTCAAAGTTTTTCTGAAAATTTTCATTTTTCAATAATGAGCTTCGAGTGCTCGGCGAAGAACGAAGAGTTGGTAGATGAATGCGAGAGACTCTTTCACTTGCAACCGGGCTATCCTATAGAAGATGCAATGGATTTTATTGAAACCACTTTAATTGACAAATTCAACTTACCAGTCATAAAAATCGTTGAAAAGGTAATAAGCGCAGCGCGATTTAACTATTCGTCTGTCCTTACTTATATCACTTTACTCAACCAAATCTTCATAAGATTTTCAATTTTGAAATCTCAAATGGACAAAGAGCTTATAATTAAAATTCACGGCATGGCTATAGAAAATAATAACGAAAATGCAGTATGTCATTTAAATCCTTTATATAAATGGTTTTCCGATGAGAATGATGTAAGATATATGGTTTTGCATGATCAAATTGATAGATTTTGGGAATATCTAATTAATCATGAAATAGAAGACTTTGGAGTTCTTAATTGTATCGGTAAAGTAAGTTTTCTTGAAGCTGCTGCATTATTCGGCTCGGCTAACATTTTTATTTTTCTCATTTCAAATTTTGGATTCAGTATCTCAAAAAGATGTCTCCAGTTCTCTTTTATCGGTGGAAATTCAGACATTATCAATGAATGCTTAAAACACCATCAAGTTGATATTACCTGTCTTAAAAATGCAATTTTGTCTCATAATAATGAATTTTTTGAAGACTTTTATCAAAGTGAACAAATTTTTTGTTGTTGTAATGAATTACATCCAATAGCAGAATCACACAATGTTAAAGCATTATTCATTATGCTTATGAAAGATAAAAATTCAATTATTCCATGGTGCGCAGAATTACCTGAGTCTATAGACATTTTCGCAAATGAGGATTTTAATTTGAAAAAAGTGGACAAATTAGGAAGGACCGTTCTTCACCATGCTGCTTTGTCTAACAACATTTCATTATGTAAATTTCTTTTACATTATATGAAAGGCCAAATTGATCTAAATGCAATGGATAATATGGGAAAAACGCCCCTTCAACTTGCAATAATGAAAAATGGAAATCAAGTGGCGCAATTTCTTCGCTCCATGGGAGCTATATAAATGCCAAATAAAACAGAACTGAGGAATCTTCTTATTTTCCATGGAAAATGATTGATCGACCAAAATCCCTTGGATGAAATTATTAAAAAAAAGTGATGATTTTTAAACTATTTTATACTGTTTTTAAATATCCTTTCATCTCCCAGATCTTAAAAATTGTCATTTATGATTATCGCTGCTTTTTAAATGTTCTTTTTGGTTTGATGATTAAGAAAAATATGATCTCATTCTATATTGAACTTTGAGCGATTCTATCTTGTTATCCATAGATTCTAATAAGTAATTGAATATAGCAATATGTCATTAACTAATATATATGTGGAAAACATTTACTTTGCATGAAATCAAATCAATATACATATGAGTTCTCTAATACATAAATTTTGTTGGATTGAAGCATAAAATTTTGATGTATTCTCTTTTGATGACTCAAAAATTAAATATAATAAAAAAATTGTGATCAAACAGTATAAATTCAAATAAATTAATATATAATGTTTATTCAAAACGAGAACAAACAATTTATATCATATTGCTACTTCAGTATTATTAACAATTTCAGTATTATCTTCCAAAACATCTTTATTCATCCTGCTGTACCTTATAGACTTGATAATCAATATCACAACAAGCACTGTGAATATTACTCCGACTGCAATTCCGCATGCAAGTCTAAATGCAAGGGATGTCCACCAAATTACTTTAAGAGGATCAGTACTGAACTTGATCTTTGCAGAACTAGCAGATATCATGTATAATGCCATGTAAATTTTGGTTCCATTTTTGATTTCTGGGTACAATTCTTGATCAAAAGTAAATGAATCGGCAGTTGCGAATTTATGGCAGTCCATTGATGATCCTATGCCTTTAAATTCATTGATCGAGAAGCACATCATCAAATTATCTGCGGAAGATTTGGAAATTAAACTTATTTTGAAAGGACTCTTTTCTGTAACATTCTGGACATTAAGTTTATAGACTTTGTAGTCTCTTGCTTTGATTGTGACGTCAACTTCTGCTTTTCCTGACAAAACAATTATATCTTCGTTACAATTGTAGCCAAAGCTTTCGGAAGAGCACTTGCATCTGGTACCAATGCATTCGTTTGTCAACTCCATCTTGAGATCATTGTTGACATTTCCTGAAACTGCAATGGCATATGCGATTCCTGTTTTAATTGGAAATTCCTTTGCAGATTTAACGTAGCATGTGTATTGTCCTGCTTCTGCTTTGTCTAATAATACTCTTTCATTGGTACTAAAATGCTCTGGCTTGAAAGATTCATACTGATTTCCTAAAATTAAGTTTCCACTTGGGGTAATTACGACCAAATCCAAGTCCGCAAACAATGGGAAGTTGTCCTTTTCCTCTTCTTCGAATGCATCTGCTGGTGGATCTAAGTAAGACATGGTAATACATAATCTATATCCTCTTTGTTTCACGGAAAATGTGAATTTGTACTGCTGATCTTGGTCTATAATCAGTCTGTCCATGAATAAGAGGTTCTTCTTATCATCATTCACTGGAAATGTATTAGTCAAACGTGGAATTCCAAAACCAGAAGTGGTATCTGGCTCATTTTTAGAAGAATCGAAAGGTTCGCATGAATTAATAACTAATGCTCGTAATAAATATGACGTAATCGGCTTAACTCCGAATTTTTCTTCCATATAATTCATAATCAAAGCAGATAAACCGGAAATAGTAGGTGCAGCCATTGATGTTCCCTGTTTTGATATGATTTCTGATGCAGAACATGATCCTGGACTGGTTCTTTTTGGAGATCCGGCTTTTGCAGAAAGAATTGGTTGGCCAGGAGCTACAACATCAGGTTTTAAGATATTTCTTCTTGTTGGACCTCTCGAACTTGAGCCTCCTATTCTTGGAGAGTTGTAATTTACTTGTTCAAAGAAAATTGTTCCTTTCTTGAAGCCGCTGATTGTTTTGAAGCTATCCTTTGCATTAAATGACGCTATCTTAGCAAAGTTATTGTTGCAGGACTGTGATGTTATAAATGCTAAAATTCCATTTGTTGAATTTTGTTCCAATTTTTCTAAATCGCTGCAAGAAATCAGAACGATATTATCATTATATTGCTTGCCAGCTTCATATTGTACGATGTTTTTATCAATAATCTGTAAAGAATCTTCAGATCTTTGTAAATCCCAGTATCTTGAGCCGAAATTCTCTGATAATTGGACTTTATCACCATTTTCGTTAACCATAACAATGGATCTTGAGTCTTCAACTGTATAAATTGAAGGACTGACCGCATTTCCAACAGTTAAAACTAATTTCGAATCACCAGCTGAGTTTATAGTCAAATCTCGACCTCTGTTACCTGCAGCGAACACAAATGTGATGTTTGGATTATTATAAGCTTCGTAATCATGAAGAACCGTAATTATGTGAATATTTGGAAAGAATCCCCAGCTATTTGATGAAATATATGATCCCATTTTAAGCTGCCTTTGACTGGTTAATGATAAATCGTAATCCGCACTAACATCATCACGAATTGCCGCATCTCCCAAATCTGTCATGAAAAGTTTAGCATCTGGAGCAACGCCGTTGTAAAGGGACATGCCACTTTTCTGTTTATAAGCGTTTCCGAGTGATATTCCGCATACATGTGTTCCGTGGCCGTCAGAATGATCTAATGAGTCTTTCCAGTCATCGATACGGACAATTTTACGATGGCTGAAGTCTGTCTTGTTAACAGGGACTTCATGGTCGGGATCGTAAAAGAGACAATGCATTCTGTCGACTCCTGAATCAACAACATTGATAATTTGACCTTTTCCTGTAATTCCGATTGTTTCTAGAACTCTGTATGTGGTAAGATAGTGAAGAGCGTTTTCTCCTGATTGTAGGAATCCTCCTGCGTATCTATTTAATGAAATTCTCTTTGGAAAATTATGAATTGAAAAAATACGAGAGTCGGACAAAGCTTCATCAATGGAATTTGTATTACTGACCGAGTAAAAATTATTTCCTAAATGTTGGTATTTTGCTGAAAATCTTGGTGACCAATTCTCTGTGGCATGAATTATGTATTTGTTTGAATGGAAATCGGTTTTGTTGATAAAGTTAAATGGTTGTAACTGATATAATTCAAAATCGTCGCTTGATTTCAAATATGAAAATTGTTTTTCATCGAGAAAATACTTAAACCATCCAGAACTGATCATGGTAAGAGGATTTAAATCGATATTATGATGTATTTTCATCGCTTCTACGTTAGCTGTCGAAAGGTTTTTTAATGTTTGGATGAAAAACCAACTGTTAGGTTTATAGTCATCATAACTATGCTTCTGATACTTCGAAAAAACACGTCCTCCATAGTTTAATATTGGCTTACCCGGTTTCACATTAGTCATGATGCGACTATAAAAAAATTATTGAAAATCGTCGATTTTGAATGGTAAAGATATCATTCAAGCTTAATGAATAGGCAGGGTTTATTATATAACAGAAATGTATACTATTGGATATGATAAAACCAAGATGTTATGGATTAATTGAAATAAATGATAATATTTTTTTTATGGAAAACTAAATTAAATGATAAAAAAGTATATTCATTGCTGATAAATATAGAAAAAGAAGGAAATTTAAAGTGAATGTACATTTTTAGAGAGAAAATTTGGTCAAAATGACAGAAATTTATAAAACAATATAGCGAAACCAATGAAATCATTAGTCGCTTTGCCTTGTGTAGTAAGGGTTTTCGTTGAACATTATATCATGCTTCTTGAACAAATAAACGGAAATAATTGCGAAAACGGACGGAATGTAATCAAAGAAGAACATGAAGAACCATGAGAAAGCTCTTACAGGTGGTGGCAATGTATCACTATTATCATCTTTTGATTTTGTTGTAATCCATTGCTGGAGAGGGTTAATATCGAAGAAATGGGTTGCATTGTATACCAAACGAAGGGAGTAAATGATTGTATATAAAACAAGGCCAACTCTGCAGAAGTTAACACATCCGGCATCATCTGGCTGAACCATTGGATAAGTAACAGCGGCAAGAAGGGAACGAGCTGGGAGTATGAAGAAGATGACCAAAACAAGGTCTGTGCAAGCGCACCAGAGGGAGAGAGAAAGATCTGGATCATCATGCTTTCCTGTGTCGAAAATGCAAAGGGTAAGGCCAAGTCCGACAAATGTAATCAGGAATAAAATGAAAAGGGATCTGAAAAAGATAATAGCATTCATTCCTGGATTTCTGTAAGTAAACAAGAGATCAAACAAGATCAATATGACAAGGCACATAGGAATGAAAAGGAGAATGTGATTTGCCGATGTGTAGCCAATTATGAAGGACATGGGAGTCCAGTTAATTTTGAACATTTGAACGGTTCCACGATAGAATTGCCAAATGATCATGAATATCCAAAACAAGAAGGTTTGATCGAAGAATTTGCATTTGCTTTTTGATGAACGAATGTGAAAGAAAAGTAATAAAATTGAAACTAAACCAGTGAGCCAGAAAATTATGCCGAGAACATCCATTTCTGGATATCCACAGTAGAAGCCTGGCATGACGTTCTTGCATATAAAGGGTTTGTTTGGATCCGAACTCATAAATTCGAAAAAAAAATATTGAAGTTAACTCCTCTCTCTGAATTTTCAATATGAGTTCCATTCACATCAAATTTAGCTAGTCTATCCAGTTTTTATTATAAATATAACAAAATATTTAGTCAATTCTCATTTGAATACTTTTTCGATATAAAATTTATGTGAATTGCATTGTGATGAAATAAAATATAGTTAAGCTCACTGAGTTATGCAATGCAACAGCTTGTCAGGCATGATATCCTATAATTAAATAATGATAAAGTTTGAAATAAGGAATTCAACATTAAACTAACGTTCATTCATACGATTCACATTCATTTTAATCATAAGTTTTGTCCAAAATGCAAGATATGGAAAATATGTCTGAATACATATCAAATGGAGCGAGTTCCTAAAAGTATGCTTTATGATATAATGGTTAACTGATTGAATTATCAACATGTGAATAGAATGAATGTTTATACAGCTACTTTGTGAAGAATCATTTTGTGAATTTTCACAAAGTTGATTCAAAGACAGTCATTTAAAGATAATGGTTGTCTTCGTTTGTAACAATATCGTGTGTTAACAACAATAGCACGTGATTGTTATTCATAAAGTAACTTTCAGCAGAATCACAAAATGATTCTTGTGAAAGTTGATACAAATACAGTCATTTAAAGATAATATTTGAGAAAATCGAAAGACATGTATTAATAATAACAATTTATTCAAACATAAAAAAATATCTATATATATAACAAAATAACTTCTAAAATAAAGAAGTTGTTTTGAATAATGGAGATCCTGTTTTATTGACATAATTTCTGATACACGGTGTTGTATCGAAGTAAAAGAAAATTTTTGGAACAGAATTTGATCGAGCCAAAATTGTTCTTTTTGTTTGATTTGATTTGAACTCTTTTGGTAACTCAGTTACTGTCAATGTCTTGGATGTTTTATATTCTTTTATTTTTGTCCTGAGTGCTTGCTTTAGTTGAATAGATTTTGGATTCTCATATATTTTATTTTTGGAATAACTAGTCTTTCTACTGATTTCCTCTATTAACTGTAGAATATCTTGAGTATTCATTGATTGTCGAGATTCATCTAATAAATGAGCCCGCAAACCATCTAGCTTAATTCTATTCTTGTCTGAATTCTTTTTAATCTGAGACAAATCAAATGTGGGATTGTTAATTTGATTAATCACTCTTTCAACAGTTTTTTGCTTATCAGTAACTTCTAATTTAGATATTTTGAAATCTACTTGATTCTTCAATTCGGAATTAATATGTTGATGCTCTTTTTGGAGAATATCTTTATCCATTGTATTGGAAATGAAGATATTGATAAAATTATCGATATTAGTGTCAGAATTTTGTTCTGGTTCTGGATCAAATATATCATAATTGATAACATTAATCAGATTTTTATATATCATGGGCATCAATTCTTCGTCTGGCAAACTTATATTACTATTCCTCATATTCAATAAATAAAGTAGTTCATTAAGAGAATCCGAAAATATCTGTTTCTGTCTAAATGTTCCTGGATATTTTGGATCTTTTTTACGAGAAATATTAGAACCACGTTTGAGGTTATTTGAACTTGTCTTTGTGTCACTTTTTGTAATCTTCTCTGTGTCACTTTCTGAACTATCTTGTGATGGATTGATATTTTGTGGTGGGGGTCGTTTATTTGAATTTTGATTGTTTTCTGGATTATGAGCATTTTTACGATTGTCCGCATGTTTCTTGAAACGATTTTCTCCATAATCACTATTTTGCTTTGGATTTATTTTGTCATCAGGTCTAGGTACATAATTCATTAATCCAAAGTGTCCTTCATTGACAGGATTTGATCTATAATATTTCATAGTTCCTAAGGTCAATGAAATTAATTCATCTATAGTTGGTCGAAAATCTGGATTTGGATTTCTCATGAAATCAATCAGATAAATGACTGTTTTTGGAATAAGAGGTGTATATATAGAATATGGATAATTGTGATTGAACATGTAGTTGAGAACGCATCCAAGTGAAAAGATGTCTGATTTAACACCGTAACCAACGTATTTCGATTTGGAAAGGTTCTGATCAACTTCTGGAGCCATGTAAAACTCAGTTCCGGTGAAATCATATGCTTTGTCGGTGTCAAACACTGAAACATCAAAATCTGCGTAGTGAGGTTTATCAAACTCGTCGAGGAGAATGTTGTCTGGCTTTATATCTCTTAGTATAATGTGGTGGTTGTGAATGTTTCGTACGTCTAAACAAATTTGATAAAATTTTTCGAGTAATTCTAGGTTTGTGAGATTAGGATTGTTTTGTATATAGGCTTTTAATGTTCCTTTTCGATACAAAGGGCTGCTGGTAAAGTATTTATTAGGCACGGCCAAATTTGGATAATAAATTGGAATCCCCAGTATTTCTTTGATCTTATTTTCCACGGAAAGATCTAGTTTTGAGAATTTAAATATGTGTGAAGAGAAGAATTCATCGGAATGTAAAACGACACTATGAGCTCCATATCCGAGAACTTTGAAACCCCTTGGAACGAATGTCTCTTTGTATTTGGAAATTACAAGTTCTTTGTCATGGTTTATCGGGTCTAGTAGATAACATTTCAATAAAAATGAAAAATCATGGATACTCGTATAAGTTCTATCAAAAGAACTATCTAAAAGATCCGGTAAACTTACCCATTTGTTCTTTTCAAGGTTGGATAGACGTGGAAGGGGTGCAATTACTTCATTAAGATCGTTGATCTGAATATAATCCGGATGATACGAGTAACTTCTAGGATCATTTAGATATATCATGACCAATTGTCCGAAAATCTGATGTAAATCCAGTATGACTCTTTCAAAGTCTGGGTTACTATTTAAAAATCCTGATAAGGTATATGCTGTCATTAAAAATTTTTGTCACTTTTTTAAATTTGCCTCAATTCATAGGAACAAAAAAGTCAATTGAATAGCTAAGAACTACTAGAAGCAAAATTTAGTTTTTTAAAAAAAAACTAATAAATAATCGTAACGACTTTGAAATGAAATAAAGTTTTGACTATTTTTTTTAGGCACGTGCGACTTTTATTGAGTCATCAATAATTATACATGTTAACAAAACTTTATCGGTGCTTAGATATATATTCTAAACCGATTTCATCCATTTTAAAAAGATTTTCCCATTTTTGGTAATTTTCCAACATATCCATGTTATTAAGTGTTTGAATATGTTGCGGGAACTAGTGACATATTCCTAATTCTGGGGATGTTAAATAGCATAACGGATCATTTGTTTGAATCTTTTTGCCAATATGGATGAGATTTTTTAAGAATGCATTGATAACACCATCAAAACCTTTTGGAATTTTGGCAAAATATTCGTTGAACATTGAGTAATTTTGATAGATTCCAATCACTGAAAGATTTTGCAGATGTTTACCTTTATTCAAGCAATTGCATAGACTATTTCAACACAAGATAAATATAATACTAATCTTTAAAATAAATATTGAGACAGAAATTAAAAATTTTTATTTTGAAAATAAACTTGAAATCATATTCTTCGCGTCTGTCGCTCAAAATTCGAGCGAATTGAAAGGTTTATACGCGAAGCATATGATTTCAAGTTTAAATAAATTTTTAAGGGTACATTTACACCCGTCTGACTCTAATTCAAAATTCTGACAACTGTCGTGAAGGATAATTGGAAAATAACATTAAAGAGCAGAATTGAAGATTATGCCCTACGGGTGTGAATGCACCCTTAAAAAGTACTAAATTATTGTGTTGAAGACGATTAAACCGTTTTATAAAAACGGTTTAATATATTTTTGTGAAATTGCTAATCAACTTAAAGGAATTCAAAATTGTATACTATCTAAGGTTTTCTGACACCAATGAAACATTGATACTCTCCCCTGCTTCTCTTACTCTTCCTTTTTTTTCAGAGGCCTCGGGAGGAAACTAGTCAGGAAGAGAAATAAGAAGTAGGAGAGCCCGAGGCCTCTGTAATAAAATTAAAATCTCAAAGTTCTCATAGCCCAGCACCGACGGGCGGTTGTAAATAGGTATTATTACAAATTTCTGAACTGAGCTATGTACTATGAGATGAAACTCCGACAGGCAGTTGCTCAGTAGAAATTTTATAAAAAATATATAATAAACATACAATAGTCCAGTCCCGACGGGGCGGATTGTTATCCAAATACAAGGAACACGTTATCCTTGATTTGGATGTAAATTGTTGTTTTCGAAATGATTTTCATAAAATTTGAACTGAACTATATGTAGTGAGATGTTGTTCCGACGGGCGGTCATGATTTTCCATAGAGATTAGATGTTTTTTTCCGAATTAAATTTTTTTTTTTTGGAGATCTTAAATGATATAAATAAATCATGCAACATTCATCTACAATAGTCCAGTCCCGACGGGCGGATTGTTATCCAAATACAAGGAACACGTTATTCCTTGATTTGGATGTAAATTGTTGTTTTCGAAATGATTTTCATAAAATTTGAACTGAACTATATGTAGTGAGATGTTGCTCCGACGGGCGGTTATGATTCTAATCTCTTATCTTATGCATCTGCTGAGAATATGAGTTATAATGATTAATAATAACGGAATTAACCGTCAGAAATATTATATTTATAAATTTTGTCTCTCTGTAATGCAGAAGTATATGGGCTGAAGTTTAATATAGTGTGCTTTTGAAAAGAGAATAAAGAATGAGAAAGTAATGATGTGTATTACGACCAGAAAGACCGGAAAGGGGATCCTTTCTCAAGGTTAGGGCCCCCTTCTAGTCTTTCTGGTGCCGGAAGGATTGGCTTTTGGCAGTATTGCCATTCCTTCCGGAATCATCATTGCATTTCTCGAAAGTCACGGCAAGTGCATTCTAGCACCACAGGTGCACTTGCTGTGGCATACAATTGCGAGTGCCTGCTGCTTCTGTCAAAAGAAGCAGCAGACACTAGCAATGCAAACCAAAGTTCTCCAGAAAGACCGGGAAGGGGGTCCTTTCTCAAGGTTAGGGCCCCCTTCTAGTCTTTCTGGTGCCGGAAGGAGTGGCCTTTGCCAGTATTGCCATTCCTTCCGGAATCATCTTCGCATTTCGCAAATGTCGCGGCAAGTGCATTCTGGCACCACAGGTGCACTTGCCGCGACATATAATTGCGAGTGTCTGCTGCTCCGCCCCAGATTCGCAGCAGACACTCGCAATGCGAAACAAAGTTCGCCAGAAAGACCGGGAAGGGGGTCCTTTCTCAAGGTTAGGGCCCCCTTCTAGTCTTTCTAGAGTAGTAATTTAGATGTTTTTCCAGAATCTCAGCGAGAACCGTCAGTGATTTGGAAGATCTCCTGAAAACGGCAAATGTAGTCTGTAAGCGAGGCACTTGCCTTTGCTCAGGCCAGATCCTGTATATGTAGGTCTTTCAGGGCCGAGATGAGCGGAGATCGCCAATGATGTGGATGATCTCCCTCAAACTCGACCCTGAGGATTAAATGTGCAGGCTCTGGCCTGAATAAGGGCCAGAGCTTCATACTGTAAGCTTACCAGGGCCGAATCAGAGAAGCATTTTGGAAAACCGGCCCTGGTGATTTAAAACGAAGCTCTGGCCTTTGCTGAGGCCAGATCCTGTGTCTGTAGGTCTTTCAGGGCCGAGACGAGAGGAGATCATCAATGATGTAGATGATCTCCCTCAAACTCGGCCCTGGGGATTGTATTTGAGGGATCTGGTCTCAGAAAAGGCCAGAGCTTCTTATGGACGCTCTCTCGGGACTGGGTTCCTCTCCGGCAGCCCCAAATCAGGGCGGTCTTAGAGGACCCCGGCCCCGAGGATGGTTAGCGAAGCTCTGGCTTTTCCTGAGGCCAGAGCTTGTGATTTTCATTCAGAGCCAAGTTCCTCTCGGATCGAGCCTAATGAGGACGATCGTCGAGGAACTGGGCTCTGAGGAGATAAATTGCGAAATCTGGCCTTCATCGAGGCCAGAGTTTTTAAGGGAATGTTTTGATGGGATGAGCCAATTATCAGTAAGCTCATCCCATCAAAACATTCGTAAGGATTGAAAATAAACTTGAAGATGTTGTTATTACGTTACTTAAAAAAGTAAACTATATAAAGTTCTTGAAGTAGAACCTTTTAAATAAGCTCAATTAAAAATCTTTATTAATACCTTTTCTCTTTTTTAAATAAATATATTCTGGTTCATTTTTCAGAATATGTTGTGATGTGGACATCATGAAATATACCAGTCAAAATTAATTAAACTAATAATCTAAAATATTCAAATCCAATAAGGGGAAAAAGATAAATCTTGGAACAAACACCAAAAATAAATAATGTTTATAATTCCAAAAATTTTTTATTTTGCAAATTTGCATATAAAATTTTTATTTCTTCTTTGGATTTTTGAAATTTTGAATTTTTTTTTGGAATTTTAAATGAAGAATTGAGAAACCTAATATAGTTGGTTATTATCTCATATATGAATATGTTTGTCTTATTTCACAATTTGAAATTTTCTCATTCTTTATGATGAAATTGAATATCTATCTAAGGTTTAGATAGCATATCTAAGGACAGATTGCATGAATTTATATTTATATTATTATAGTATATTGAAATTGAAAACGTTGAATATGACAATATCTTTCTTAGCATACCAAACATTTTCAAATTTCCTGAAACTACAATTTCTGTAGTTACTTGTCAAATAAGGGAAATAACTCACAAATATCTAGTAGATGGTATATCATTTTATCTCGTAAAATGAGTATCTTAGGAAAAATTCTCGATTTTTTTTCAAAACTTACAATAACACAAGATCTATTCTGTAAAACCGATTAACAGTACAAATATGTTTATTTGCAGATCAAACAGTCTAATATATCTTTTAATAATTTTATCTCGAAATTGCTCTTTTCTTCCATTCTTCGTCCATTAGTCATCGAATATCTAAATAGTCGGAATCCATTACCAAAATCAAGAAAGTATCGATACTATTTTGTGGAATTAAGGGTGCACACGAGAGGATCATGTAAACTTCAGAATTTAGAACCTTATTTTTAGGCATTATCTTGGCTACCTATTTAGGCTCGAAAAGCAAAAAATATCAAAAAATACAACCTGACTCCATTATGACCCTTTCATGGAGGTAGTTTTTATCCGCTAGTATTTTCCCTTTGAATCTCTTTACAACTCGAAATCAAATTCAAATCTCAGTAGAAGAAAGGAAGAATCGACTTACTACGGTTGTAATACGAATAAATACATATATTTAATTATTTTTATTTACATAATAATTGTTTGAAGCTCATATTCCATCAAATTTTTAAATAAAAACATTAAAATGTTGAAAATGTTCATATATTTTAATAGGGTTTTGGCACTTTATTGAGGAATTACTACATACATAGTCGAACTGAACTTGATATTTTGAAATTTAAATTATTTATCAAAATTAAAATTTAACCTGAAATTTATAATTATTTAGTCATATTTTGCATAATTCTAAGTAGATTTTGTAAAAAATCAAGAAAGAAAAATTTTAACGTGCTTTATTTTTTCTTTTTTATAATAATACATATTATTATATAATTAACATATTCATAATGTTTCACCCTTTCAAAAATATAATCCTCCTCCTCTCAAATAAACGTACATACGGGTGGCCTCTTTTTTCAAAAAATTAAAATTTGAAATTTTGGGCTCAAATATTAGAGATTTTTTCAACCTTCAACGATATATGTTGTCTATATCAGACCTCCTTTCTTTTTGATACTTAACATTGTTCCTAAATCTTAGCCGTTAAGGCTGTTCTGAAAATATAGATCCAAGGTGATGTGATTTTTGCATCCCTGGGATGGACGATACACCCAAAGTGTCACCTTTTTGGGATAACATGA